GCTCCGCAGGCGTGTAGAGAGCCAATTTGGAGCAATGAAAGACTGGGTAGACGGGCAAGTGGCTAGGCACCTGAATCGTGAAGGAAGGTCCTTCGGGTGCGTCCCCAGCGGGCTCTATGATTGGCCAAGGTCCCATCCATTTCGGAAGGAGCTTGCGAGAGATGTCTTGTTCAAGGCTGAATTCCGCGGCGGAAACCCAGACGAGGTCCCCGACGCGGAATGGACAAGGGAGACGCTGGCGATTGGCCTCCACGGAATTCAGCCTTGTTCTTGGAGTAGCCTTTGATGAAGCGCTGATAGTAGCCGGTAAGACCAAGGAACGAGCGAACTTCCGTGACGTTCTGAGGCTCCGACCACTCCTGGACGGCCTGAATCTTGTCCGATAGCGGACTGATGCCCTCCACTGTGACAAAATGGCCCAAGTATTCCAGCTCCTGCCGGGCAAATTCACACTTGTCGCGGTTGGCCTTGTACTTGGCGCGGCGGAGCGTCTCCAACACTCGTCGAAGGTGCCCCAGATGATCCTCCAATGACCGGCTGTAGACGAGAATATCGTCTAAGTAGACCAGCACGAACCGGTCCAACATTGCACGAAACTCGTTGGTCATCGCCGCTTGGAACGTCGCCGGGGCGTTGGTGAGGCCAAAAGGCATGACCACCCACTCAAAATGCCCGTACCGTGTCTTGAACGCCGTCTTGTAGCGATCATGCGGCTGGATCGAGATTTGATGATATCCCGATTTCAAATCCAACTTGGAAAAATACTTCGCGCCGCCCAGTCGCTCGAGAAGATCGTCGATGCGAGGAAGAGGCCCCGCATTCTTGATGGTTTGCGCGTTGAGCTTGCGGTAGTCGATACACAATCGTAGATCCTTGTTCTTCTTCCTAACGAAGAGAACAGGTGCTCCATATGGGGAGCTGCTCGGGCGGATCCAGCCTTTGGTCAACAAATCATCGAGTTGTGCGCGGAGTACCTCAAGCTCCTCCTCGCTCRTCCGATAGATGCAACCTTTCGGCGGCACAGCACCGGCCTCAAGAATGATCTCGTGAGAGATCGGCTGATCCAGCACCACACCGGTAGGTGACTCGAAGATATCGGCGAACTCGTCCAGCAACCGCACCACACGGGGGTCCGAAGACAAGTCCGTGGGGGAAGAGTCGGCTACCGCGACGGTCTGTAGGAAACATAGGCCGATCTCATCGGGCTGCTCGTAGGCACAAGTCGCCGGGAATGATTTGGCCGTTACCACTTGGCACCGGATCGAAGAGTGCGGTAGAGGAACAGTACACGCCACTTTCGCGCCGAAGGCGTCGCGAACGCTAAGAGTCCTCCGATGGAAGTTGACCGTGTGATCCRCACTTGCAAGCCAAGGCATTCCCAGAATGATGTCGAAGTCCGTGTCGAGAATATCGAACGTGACCGGTTCGCATGCATGAGGTGCGAAGTAGACCGGTACGGCCTCGATGCAACGGTCGAGAAGCTGCTGCGTCTTACCGTCCGCCAACTTGATCGCCGTCGGGTTTGCCTTCCTCCGAACGTGTGCGCCAAGGCCAGCCCTTTGCATAAAGGATTGGCTCATGAAGTTGCGAGTCGCGCCGCTATCCAGCAAAGCGCTGCAGGACGCTTGCCCAACCTGAATGCGGACATACATCAGCGGTGCGTTGTTGTCATCGTACCGCTGCGTGCGAAACTCGCGGGCCACCTTGGTAGTATACGCCAAGATGTCCCCCACCGCGACTTCGTCATCCGTCGGCGAAGTTGGTGGTGCATAGAAGGATAGGTAAGTGTGAAGATTAGCGCTAAGTGCTGCGCATTGCGGTCCCGACAATCGGCCGGTGGTCGGGAGAGGAAGCCATGCAAAGTCCTCAGACG